ACTCTTTGTTGGGTTTGGCTGAGGGAAGCAGTGAGAGGGATAAGGTTAAACATGAAGTCCACCTAAGGTCAGCTCATAAGCTCCAAGAGCTCTGTTTCAAAAATGGAGGAATCTATATCAAACTCGGACAGCATCTAGGACAATTAGTATGTAAAGCTATGCTCTTTCTCTACCATTGAATTTCTGTGGTTAAAAAATGTTTTGATGTTAAGAATACCAACGGGTTATTTCTTTCGTGTGTCAAGGACTATCTTGTGCCTGAGGAGTATGTTCGTACCTTGAGGGAGTCCATGTTGAACAAATGCCCTGTTTCTTCGTATGAGCAAGTATGTGAGGTTTTCAAGAAAGAAGTTGGAGAGACGCCTGACAAAGTATGCTTTCTTTTTTAACCTTTTAAATGGTCTTCACGCTTTATCTATGAATGCATCTCTTTGCTTTCTTAATTTGGCTATGGTGTTCTTATCTGCAGGTATTTGCTGAATTTGACCCTGTTCCAATTGCAAGTGCTTCCCTTGCTCAAGTTCATGTTGCTCGCACCCATGATGGAAAAAAAGTCGCTGTTAAGGTGAACTATTTTTACTTTATATTATACGACAAAATACATTTCTGCAAACCCTTGATTAAAGATCTTGAATAGTGTAAATTTTATGTATTCTAATATCCTGAATCTCTGTTCTGCAGGTTCAGCATGCGCACATGACAGACAGTGCAGCTGCAGATACTGCAGCTGTTGGATTTATAGTGAACACCTTGCACCGGATATTCCCATCATTTGACTATAGGTCTTTTCCATTTCCTATAGACGATTCACAGTTTGTGTCTCTTACAACTAGTTTATACTGGGTCATGTATGCAGGTGGCTGTTAGATGAAATGAGTGAAAGCTTGCCAAAGGTTGGTCTTTACTTGAATTTACAGCATATTTAGTTTGGTTTGATATGCATCTTCTTGCAATAATTTCTGGTGACTTCATGATTTATCACTGTATTTGATTTCACTGTCTATTCTATTCTGAAGTATTTATCTTTGGTCTTATGAGTTTTTCTGCCACTAGTTTGGTATTTTAATTGCTTTTTGTTTAATTAATGTAATTTTCATCAGGAACTAGATTTTTTGGTTGAGGCGAAAAACAATGAGAAATGTCTGGATAATTTTAGGAAGCTGTCTCCCCATATTGCAGAGTTCGTTTATGCCCCAACGATCTATTGGAACTTGAGCACCTCTAAGCTGTTGACTATGGAGTTCATGGATGGTGCTCAAGTCAATGATGTGGCTAAGATCAAAAAGCTTGGGATTCAGCCCTATGAAGTATCAAAGCTTGTAAGCTCTTTCATCTTTGATATTGAATGGCTTATTATCCAGTACGGAGAAACAAACTTTGATATGCGCTGAGCTCTTCTTTGTAGGTGAGTCAAACTTTTGCAGAGATGATGTTTAAACACGGTTTTGTGCATTGTGATCCGCACGCCGCCAATTTGATTGTTCGTCCAGCTCCTTCGGGTAAAAGGAACATATACGGCAAGAGAAAACCACAGTTGGTGCTTCTTGACCATGGCTTGTACAAGGAGCTTGACTTCAACACGAGATTCAACTATGCTTCACTATGGAAAGCTTTGATCTTTTCAGATGCTAATGCCATTAAAGAACACAGCGCAAAGTTAGGTGCTGGAGACGATCTCTACGTGCTATTCGCGGGTATTCTTACAATGCGACCATGGAAACAAGTCATTAACACATCTGTTGATCATTTAGTCATCCAAGGCACAAACGAAGATCGCTCAGAGTTACAAACGTATGCATCAGAGTATTTCCCTCAAATCTCAGAGCTTCTCAGGAGATTACCACGCGTAATCTTACTGATGCTGAAAACAAATGACTGTCTCCGGTCAGTTAACAATGAACTGTTGCAAGGATCTTCGCTCGAATCGTTCTTGATCATCGGGAAAGTATCTTCGGACGCAGTTTTAGAGGCAAAGAGGTCACAGAAGAAATCGTTGATTAAATGGTTTAAGGTCTGGCTTGAAGGACTAACTGTTGAAGCAAGGCTTTGGGTTATGCAATTCGCCCTTTGGCTCTTACAAGTCAGACAAGCCTTACCTCTATAATACAATATCATAAAAATTGAGGAATACGTTACAGCAAAAATCTATTCTTTGGTCTGGGTCGGTCCAGAATTGACATTTATACGTTCTTTGATACACAGGCTGGTTATGTTCTTTGTAAGCTGAGAGAAGCTAAAAAATTATTCTCATAACC